AATTCCCAGGGTGTGGAATTAATATCCGCTTTTGTGTGCTCACTGTGGGACGCGGAAAGCAACAAATTTTAATCGCCCCGGCGAGTCATGTGAGATCTGATTTCAGGAAAATAGATGTATGTACATAGAACGGAGAGTGTTATGTTAGATATACATGTAGATAATCTATAGATCTTTTTCTCAAACTGCAATTTGTAAGCTAATAGGGTTGTATTTCACTCTCAGATGAAACAATAGATTGGGAATCAGTTAATGTTATATGCACATGCAGCAGTTTATATTATTAACATCACACGTGTTGCTGAATGCAGATGTAAAGATACATAGGCTTGGCTGACTAAAAAAAGGGCATGTCTATCTACGGTAAATGATTTTATTTTTTTTTAAACAGTAGAGATGATTTATACATATGAATGCTAGATCCCGGACATGTAAAGTAATACATGTACATAATAGTGTTTGAGATATGTACCAGTATATTGTGGTGAAACATAAATGATGTCATTTAGACACCTCAGTAATGTAGCTTTAAATACATATTTTAAAGAATATGTTTCTATAATCAAACTATCCTATCATTTCACTTACATGTATGAAATTTGAATTACCTCATGAAATATGATTTTTTTTTTTTTAATCTGTAATTTTATAGATAATTTGTGCTGGTTCTATTGATGCATAAAATGGACTATAAATTCTCTAATTGATGGGGTAAAATATGAAAAATACATATGCTGGTACTTTTGGTGATTTTCTCATTTCATTTGACCAGAATCTGGTATGTTTTTAGAGCTTGAGACTTGAACCTAATTACAATTCATCTGAAACTCATATACGAGCCAGAGCAATATAACACTGAGTTCCTATAGGACATCTATTTATTCAGATGGTCATATCTTAGCCAATACTTAACATATTCAATTGGTTTTTGACATTCGGACATTATTTTTGATGCTATTTCGGAGAATGAAGAAAAAATTGAGAAATTCCAAAAATAGATTTTTGATGACGTCACATTTCACCACTCTATTTCCTTCTGTGAGTTTATATTTTAGAGGCAAAGGTCAAGTGCACGTATAAATAGGTGTAGTGTATTGATCTTATGTGTGTACAGCATCAGCGCCATACATCGTTGATGGATAATGTTCATCTGGTGGTTCCCTCTGTACTGTACGCATGGCAGGAAAGCACCATATTGGTCATCATGTTTTATTGATCTCTTGGTAATTATCATCGCTACAATCGCTTCTTTGTGGGATTAATGAATGGCTTTACCAAGCCAAGAGCAGGTGGAATCCTGTAACATGTAATAGATGGAGAATATTCACACAGTCTCAGTTATGTAGCCATTGTGGTTAAAGGTGAACTTCAAAGAAAATCACAAATATGTCAACTAATGTATCACTAGAAACTGGTAAGCTAACAGATAGCCACCGTACAAGTTTTAGGTCAACTACATATCGGGTGATTTATAAAAATACAAATACAACCACCTCCAGTAGCAGCTGGGATATGCGAGAGATTCGCCGGGAAAATAACGATGTTTTTAATGACGTCACTATATGGACCAACACTGCCCAAGCAGACGACATCCCATAGAGAATGAACATAATTGCAAAGCTATTATTTCTCAAATTATAATGAGTTTAGTGTATATAAATGTAATGGCATGTCAAACCATTCAAAGGGGGATATGACCCGATTCCGATAACTAAAATCTTTTGCTTGTAAATACGAAGGATATGTGTTAATTAACGATCAAAGAAACCAGACTTTCGAATTGAAAACCCCCCGGAATGATATCAGGACGGCATTTGTTCCCTCTTGAAACGCCGAACATACCGCGCTGTGTGCAGCTGAATATTCAATACCGCCTTATTTTGTTTACAAGCGACAAATTCCTTTATTTTTGTATCGGTGCATTTGTCATCAAAATAAAACCGTGTGCGGGGTTTAGAGTGAGGCAATAGATTATAATTTTAGCCTGACGGTAGTGAAGTAAGAGAAAGAACTCAAGAGAAGATGTAAACACAGGCACTGAAAATGTGTGTGATGTCATGGGACATCGTCTGCTTGTGCAAATCGTGTCCATACAGTGATCTCACACATCTCAGGAGCGTTCGGAGAGCTCTTCAGGTGCTATGCCGGGGCTGTATTTAAGCGTTTTATAATTTATAATAATAATCACCTCGAATGTTTCCAAGCATTGAAGTTTGATAACCTTGTCGAATCACAGTTTCAACTTTGCAATAATGAAATTAAGTTAGTTTTTAAAATCAATGAACATCAACTTTAACGGTACTGCAGGAAATTGGTCTATGCAGATCGAGAGTAAAATTATATTCACAGTTTGTTGGAAAGGGGTTAATCATTTTGGGAGTATTCTACATGTAGATTAATTAACACAATTAGGCATGATCGAAATAGGGCTGGAATCAAGTGCTTTAGAAATGGTGTTTGGTTGAGATTATTCATTTGATGGCATATGATTGTAAAAATGGTTCCAATATAGAGATCTTTGTATGGACATGTACTTTAAATGCAAACTTTCATCCTTAGCAACTATTGTAACAATATTTAAAATAAGATATGAATGAATTTTTAAACTGGTCTGGTCTTGATGGAAGCATCATGGTACAGTGGTTTGTTCACTTGACACTCGATTGAGAGGTTTAGGGTTCTAACCTCTGCCCAGTATAAAAGTCCTTTAATAGTCAATCTTTTACCCTTGGCAATATTTGTGACAGCATTTTACGTAGATGTAAGATTTAAAAGAATCTGTATGCTGGTCTCTAAATTGCTCTCATTGGTACATGCAGATGGGTAATATCATGTGTAAATTGGCACTAAGTTATCAAAATGAGCATTTGCACTACACCTAGTCAGCCATATTAAGCAGAACCAATAATGGTGTATTTTTTAATAATGGAGCAGCTCGAGTACCAGTGATTACATGCTCATTGTGTCACAGCCAGTACTGGTTTCCTGTCAAATTCATCATTTCAGTCTCGAGCTATTCACAGCTTGTTCTCCTATTAATTAGATGAATTCACCTGCAATAAGCTGTACGTCACAACACATACGTGCATTGTAGTGACGGGCTGATGTAGTACACTGGAAGGTCTCATAACTGCACAGTGCTCCATATGTGGCTTTGTGATTATAATTTCAATTGCTATGATTTTTAAAGCATTTGATATTATTCAAATTCAAATGTTGCTTTTTGTCTTCAAATATGAATATTTGTATCTAGAAATGTTTGGTAATATTTTGAAACACTATTCTTTTATCTTAAGGAAAGCTTATACGTATGTAACCAATACATTAAATCTATATTATAACGAATGTATATATTGTAGGTGGCTTCATATGTTTGTGGATAGCTAGATCACAAAGACATCTGTGAATTTTACTAGGATTATTATTTTGTTTAATGTCTTTATTCAGTTGATATATATACAATAGAAGAAAAGTGGCTGAAGAATCTTGGAATTTCTTTTATTTAAGAAATATATTTAATGATGATTTATGTTCTTTGAATAATGTCATACCTGATTTTTGCATTAGCTCAAAAATCATTTAATTTACTTGAAATACCAAGAGAACATTTCATGATATTGCATGAAAGCTGTAGATATATACACAAGTGTGCAACAAACATATACCATTCAACCTTGCATTATGCAACCCACGAGAGAGAAATAAACTGTACACATGGAGCTAAGTACCAAGTATACAACTTCACATGGCTATTTCTCCACGCCGAGTATTTAACCAGGCTGGGAGCGTCAATATAGTTGTGAGAAGAGGGTCTAATTTGCGTTGAGGCCCTAATTGGATCAGTGGGTTGCCGAGGGTGTACGGCTTTAGCGCCATCCATTAGCCCTATATTATGTTGCATGGGATACGGCAACGGATGACCTACCGTGAATAGGGATTTTATGATGGCACCTGCTGTCTGAACATTTCCTATGCATTTTTTTTTTAAAGATCGGATCGTGGTAATTCCTTAGCGTTTTACATTACATGTGGGGTCTGTCCATGACAGGGATGATCACCAGGGATGCTGCTCATGTAGGGCCCGAGTTGTATGTTGTTAAAGTCTAAACAATTAGGAGATGTTCTGTAGTTTGAATTTGATATCTATCATAATCAATCAATGATGATGATGGTGGTGGTTCTGGTGGAGGTGGCAGTGATGGTGGGGGTGATGGTGGTGGCGGTGGTGGTAGTGGTGGTGGTGGTGGTGGTGGTGGTGGTGGTGGTGGTGGTGGTGGTGGTGGTGATGGTATGAATAGTGAGCCACAGCACCCACGTGTACATATTATCATTAATCTGGTTACTCTTAATTTTGGAGTGCAGCACTTATGGTGCCACCAAGCATTATATTCATGTAACATTTTTTCACACCTTTTCAATCATAGCATTTATAGAAATTTCTATTCATCTTGATACACACATAATTCTATGATATTATCTTTCATTGAATGAATTGAATGCCTTGGTATTATATTCTACATTACAGATTTACTCTCTATGTATGTGCATCATGTACATATATAATTCCATATCATATTTAATTAATTTCATACTTTCTTCTTATGTCAAAAGAGAAAAGACTTACACCTTCTTACCATGACGAATGTTTGTGTACACTTTCGGATTTCCTATTTCAGATGAACTTTGGAGCAAAGTAAATTGAGATACTGCATGTAATATATATATATGTGTGTGTACATTACTTTCACCTTTTCTGCATCAGCTTGCATCCCCATTGGTACCTAAATGGAGAAACTGATCTGAACGAGAGGAATAATACCCCCCCCCCAAAAAAAAAAAAAAAAAAAAAAAATTAGGAGCCAGAAGGACACTAACTCACTTGAACGTCCTTCTGGCTCTCATTACATGAAATATACGGTATGCTTCAGAAGAGTAAAATGATTGTAAATTGACACTTTAAATAACATGAGAGCTTCATGATCTTCTTGTTGTTTCTGCAGATGGACAAGTATGTTCTATGGGGATCATAGCTCCCAGGGGAAGTCTAAGAATGTCAACAACGCTAATGACGTGGGGATAGCCGACCATCCACCTCATTCTCGCACAACGGTGAGTCCAAAACATTACAATTTAAAGATAATAATGATTCCTTGTTTACGTACATTAACTTACTGAAGTGCAGTACTTGGACCTAGTTTTGTACTTGTTTGATGAAGCCAGCGGCATTGATTATGGTGCAGTTGTTTCTTGTATGCATTCTAAAATTCCAGTCTCACATTGTGCAACCCTGCATAATCAATACCATGAATATAAATTCAATGAGGATGCACATGTGCACCATCTCCATCCTTTATATTGCATGCCTTGCTACTGCAAAGACTCTGGAATTTTTTTTAAAGGGTATTACTATTGAAAATCTTGCCAGAAACTAAAAGGTTTCCAGACTGTCAGAGGTTTAATGAAATGCTAAATGAAACTATCAGTGTAAATGGGCTATGAAACCCTAAGGGTATACATGGATGTGATGTATCGTTTGGTTTGGGTTCAATGCATCAGCGCCACACCCACATCATCTACATTATAATATTCAGAGCGTTCCCCTCTGTATGGAACATGTACATAGAGTATTTACATTTCCTGACAAGCTTTCAGCTCCTAGCTGCCAAGAGCTAGACCCCATTACACTTGCATACATGTATGCCAAGCCGAGCCTCCTCTCCTATCTGCAATCTCATTCATACCATCATTCGTGTAATTTAGTCGAATGATGGCCTCCCCAAATTCCACACCTTCTTCTGTCCCCATCCTCCCCAATCCATCACCCATGGGCATTAACATCAAATCTTGGGAGTGGAAACCCTAAAAGAAGCTTTACGAGAAGACGGCAGCAACTAAATGTCGTTTTCATCCATCTTCCTCGTAGTTAGAATGAATTAACACCCATGTGTTAAAGGTACTGGTGAATATTTCCATAGCTGTGACACAAAATGTGTTAAATGTTAAGGTTAGGATTCTCATCAGCGAGACAAAAAACAACAACAAAATACATGTTTTTGCCTCCAACTTTACATATTTTGATAATCACAACCACTTTAGTCCATATGCTTGAGCCAAACAATTATAAATTTCAATAAATGGCCTGTTGGAGGGTCCAAAAAATGGAGAAAATTTTTTTTTATAAATTTGCCTGAACCTTCCAAAGTGTTTGCTCAAACATTTAAAGATAAATGTATCTTTATCAGATGGGGATAAAGCTTGATAGAACCTAAATATTTCAACATATTTGTGGCTTACACCCAGTAATTAAAATCGATTGATCGAGAACAAGTCAGAAAAAAAATCTTGGAACCAGCGGGACTTGAACCTTCATCTACTGCTTGCCAGGCAGCGACTCTACCACCAGGTGTAAGCCACAAATATGTTTAAATAATTGAAATTTCTCCCAAGAAGCATTACACTGATAGAACCTGTTCTTCAATCTCTGTGTTATAGATGTGATAGCTTTTGTTATTAATTTTGATGTCTACTAGGGTACTGCTATTTCCCCCTTGAATTATATGCTACCATGGTCATTCACAATACAAAAAATATAAATCAAAGCGTTTGCAACTCTTGAAAGTGTATTTTCAGATGATGCTGATTTCAATTCTCAACATTTGTTTTCCTAAATGGAAAAATTAGATCTTCTTTTAACTTTGAATACAGAATTGTATCTGCTACCATGCAATAGCTATATGTGTACATGGCTTGGCACATGCTTATCTATAGGGTGGCACATACATGTACATACATTATGAACCTTCCTGTTATGACCAATTTTTCATCTTAATGGGCCATACAAATTGGAATTGCCTGTTCGAAAGTAGAATTTTGTAGGGAATCTCAGTGTCAATTTTGGGGAGCTGTAGTATACATGTACATCTATATTACTAATACCACTAATCGCCGCGGGGGGTCCAAACGGGTACAAAACGGTTCCTCAAAAACGTCTTTCCCCGACCCCGCCCGCCTCCGCCGTGGCGCGGGGAGGGCGGCACAATTCCACGAGGTCTGTCTCCCGTAACCCGCGTGCCACCTCGACCCCGCGATCGACGTCCATGCCGTTAAACGCGGTTTCGGGGTGCCGGGGAGGACGGGCGGACGAGAGCACGGCGGGCGTCGTGGATTGCCAGGAGGCGACGAACCCGCGAGAGCGAGTCGGCAAGGCGTGCACCCGCCCTCTGTCTAATTATCAAAGAGAGACGAAGTGACACACGATGGACGAGAATCCACTCGCGTCAACGGGTGTAGCAAGTCTCATTGAAAAAGCTGCGGCGTATCCCGAGTAAGACCTCTTGCTATAGGGTTCGCTTTGTAGCATGTAAGAGAAATACACATTAACAGACGACTCACCCGGGTGATGGGATGTAGCCAATATGTACGCTCAACGGGTTGAGCTTACCCGTGTTATGCGTCTTTCTATAGGATATGCTTTGTAGGCCAGGCGCCAACATAACAGTGTACGTGTATTACACGCTCTCAGGTCACACACATGCACACACCACAGTCGATTCGAGTCGAGGCGATTGCGACAACTGGCGCAAACCATGGACCTATTTTCACGTAAAATCTTTACTCTGAAAATAATTATACAAATTCTGTGATCTATGCCAACATAATCATAGTCCAAGCTTCTGTTTTATTGGTCTTTTCATGAAAACTACATCGAAATCACAACAAGAATAGCGCAAATAGATCTGTGATAGTACGCCTTCACGTGACAGTTCAGTTGCAAACTGCCTTGAGTCCACAGTGTATTGCCACGGCAGCTGAGCGCCGCTGTCGGCGGTGCTGTAGGAGCTGAGTGTGTGTGAGCATGGAGTAGCCAGGTCTGTCCGTGGTGTAAGGAGAGTCTAAACAACACTTTGAAATTGCTATTATTGCCCCAATTTCAATATAGTTTCGTGAATAGATGTATGAAACCTGGGCTTCGATTGTGATTATTCTGGCCATGTATAGTTGTATACTGAATTTCGATAATCATTTTTCAAAGTAAAGTTTTCACAAGAAAATCAGACGGTCGTCATGGTCATTTAAAAACATGATAATACTTTTAGTATGATACAGTTCTTGCATCAAATCAATTTTCAAAGTATGGGGGGGGGGGGTCAGGTAACTCAAAGCGATTTGAGTGCAGGCGTGGTGTCCACGGGTACAAAGGGCTGAACCCCCGAAAGCTCAGGGGTTTTAGGCATTTAATTACGGTCAGATGAGCATATTTTTAATGCCTTATTTGTGACACTGGCAGGTCGATCAATAATTGGCGTGGGGACCATAGTAGAGTTGCGTACCAACTACGCTGAGCTGAGAGTACGCTGGCCTACGTTACTATACCCTGAGGGACGCAAAAAAGTACGCAAGATGGACGCAAACAATTTTATATGTTTAACAAAATTCGCGTACTTTCGGCGTAGAAACTGGACGCAGAAAGTACGCCTTTTTTTACGTAACACTACGCTACTAAACTAAACAAACTGCATCTTTAAATGAATTAATGAAAAATTAGCCCAAGAAAAATGAGCCCCCGAAAGATAAAAAAAAGTAGCCCCCAAAAATTTTCCCAAAATTTGATATAGATCGAGTCCCCGAAAAAAAAAATCTTTCACTGGATTCTACGCTCACAGTCCCACACATAGTCGAGTCAATTTGTGCACAAACCGTCCGATTTTTCACGTAAAATCTTTACTTTTAAAATAATTATACACATTTTGTGAACAATGCCAACATAATCATAATCCAAGCCTCTGCATATGTAGTCTTTTCATGAAACTACATTAAAATTACAACAATAATAATGCAAATAAATAGTAATTATCGAGATCCTATCTGACATAGTTTGTTTTACGATGCGCCATTCATGGTCAAACAGCATATATTATAAAAATTCTCTATATAAAGTTAATCTAAATTTTTGTTTGGATAGCACATAGGCCTTTATCTATCTATCTATTTGGCCCCCTCCCCTAGAATCCCGTGGATTTTCCACGGGTCCTGCTAGTGTAATACTATTCTGGAGAAAATTACACCAAATGGTCTCCATTTAATGACTTAATAAATTGTTTATACGATTCTCTTGTTATATCATCAAGTTTTATTTTGTCACTCAACTCGATAGCTTGGTAAAGGCCTGCCTGAAACTTAATCTATATGCAAAGCTGCTATTTAAATTTCGTAATTTTTATTCTTCTTTGTTTTCATTTTATTTACAGGGATTATGTGACTGGATCCCAGCCATATTTAGGATCAAGTAAGTATGACCTAATCCATTTTCCTCTCCCCATTGCCACATTTAATTTTGCTTTACAAATAATGCGTTGATGAATAAACTTTTAGAACTATATTTTAATGCATACTGCCTCTAATGTCACATTTGTTGCTAATAAAATTTTCAAGTAAAATAATATAGAGGACATGTATGAAACTCTTCCTGTCATTGCTTATGTGTGTGTTTGTATGTGTGAGAGACACACACACACACACATATATATATATATATATATATATATATATATATATATGGAGAGAGAGAGAGAGAGAAAAAAAAAGAGGGAGAGAGAGAGAGAGAGGAGATGTAATCATAGAGAAATATGAGAAGTAAGAGGTGAAGGAGTTCTAGGAAGGCGATCACTTTAAAATGTAGATTTGTTTGAATAATGAATTGTATGTTGGTGAGGGGAAGGGGGTTTGAATCCATGCCCAGTGGAAACTGCTTTTATATATTTTGATAGAAATATGGTGCGATACTGTAAATTATCATATGTGATGTACTCTTTCTGGAGTTTTACATGGTTTAATTGGTATTTCTAGTTCTGATTTGGAGAGAGAATAACTTCAACCTGGAAACTATACTAATAGTAATCTCCAAGCTTTTTTCACTACCAGTAACTCGGACATCATCTATTCTTCTTCTTTACTTCATCCTCTTTACCCCATCTCAGGGATGCAGACATCAGGAGCAACTCTGGGACGGATGCGGTACAGTACCTCCAGTTCCAGCGCTACCTGATCGTCCTGATGATGATCATCACCGTCTTCTGCCTGGTGGTCATCCTCCCGGTCAACTTCAGTGGCAGCCAGGAGCTTGGAACAAACAACTTTGGCCGCACCACCATCACCAACATCCCTAACAAGTAGGTCAATATACAGTCAAGCCTGCTTTGGTGACAGCCTTTATTGCGACAGACCAACCTGTCTTATAAAGTCTACATTATTTTTCATGCTAGAAAATAGTTTGTAATTAAAACAAGTAGTAAAGTAATCTGTACATAAAGAGCACCAGCCTATGAAGACCAGGGCCTAGTTTTAGAAAAATTGCACTGATGGTAAATTTGCCATTAATATTAGCTACCATGGCAACACCACTCAACAGCCAATCAAATCAAGGTTTCCATGCCAGTTACTATTAATGGCAAAGTTACCATCGATGCTAAGGTTTATGCAATGGGGGGGGGGGGGGGGGGCAGTTGTATCCCCTGAGCTTTATATACAGGTTTGACTGTTTGTGTCAAGGAGGAAATCCTTCCTGATTATCACATTGTTTCAATAAAAGCAGAAAAATTAGAAAAACAGATCAGTAAATTTTCGCACAATTGATGAGACCATTTTTTAAGTTGTAATGGATCTAATGCAAATTGGCAACTCAATGATTTACTTCAAGACTGCTTTTTCCATTTCTTCCCTATTTAACAAATTCATGAATTCATTATTTTGGTTGTTGATGTAGGAATAGGTTTTAGAGAAGGTGTTTAAAAAGCTTGCGTCCAATTGTATATATATATTTCCTAAGTTGTTACTTGGCTGTCATTCTTATATTACAAACAATTATAAAGCAGAAATGTATTACACACAAACAATACACAGAATTAGCATGATGATATTCCTTTTGAGAATCACACATTAATGTAACTTACATTTGTATCTGCTTGAACATCCCCTTTTTCTCATCCTTCAGAGATGCCAAGTTATGGGTACACACTATCTTCTGTATGGTGTACTTCATGATAGTCATCCTCTTCATGCGCCACTTCTCCATGCATCTCCCCTACAGGTCAGAGACGGACACAGTAAGTACAGCTCTTGAGATCACCCACCAAGCCACAGGCATTTCAAGAGAATAGTAGAGTGTTCTCAAGGCTTCACAATTGTTTTGCCTGTAGCAGTGTAGTTACAAAAAACTCTCAATCTTTTTGCTCTGACATTTGCTCTGGCAATATTTGTGCCAAGCTTTTTTTTTTTATCATTAAAGAGCCGGGGTAATACTGGAGCGCTTTGAGCACCTTGCAGGGTGGATATGTGCGCTATATAAATATGCAATATTATTATCATTATTAAAGAAAGAGGGTCAGTATAATGCTGTGTTATTTTCTGGTTGGAGCCAGAAGGGCATTAATTAAAATATTTTGACACAGAGTTAATGCCCTTCTGGCTCTGAACGGACATGGTCCAGGGTTAATGTTGATAAGTTTAGCAATTGGCTGTGTTAACACACTCTCTGCTTCTCTCTCTTACGTGTTCTGCCAAAGGCAGGTCCACACATCAGAGTTTTCTTTAGTTCTTCCTCCATCCTCCTCTATCTTTGGCCTTCTTCTCCATTATGTCATTTGATCTGTCACCTTTGAAGTCTGACACCATCCCCATTTTTGGTCTTCCTCTTCCCGTTTCCCATCCATCTTTCCTTCCAAGATGTCCCTGAGCATGTTATCCCAAGTAATACTGATTTGTAATCTCCTCCCTCTTTCTTCCCTCCTTCCCTATCTCTAATATATATATTGCTAAAGTTTGATATGAGTTCAAGTCAAGCTGTATTATGGATAAATTTGTTTTATTGATACGTTTTAAAGTAGACAAATTTACTTAGGTACTTTATTGCTTGTTCACCTCCTTAATTGGTAAGAAGTTGAAAAACAAAGGGAGAATTTTCAAAGTCAAATGGCCCTTGGCAAACAAATCTTAACAAACAAATGAAAAAAAATAGTTTGATCATATAAACATGTATATTGATATTGCCATAATATCAATAATTTTGAATCTGTTTATTTTCCTTCAGGTATCTCGTACACTTCTTGTGTCTGGTATTCCATTGGAGAGGACTGATCCTGCCCTTATCAAACAACATTTCCAGTGAGTATGCCTTGTACATGTGTATCAAACTAATACGTTACACCTAATACCTTATGTCTTTTTTTTACCTTGTACCTCTTACACTGCACTTTACACTTAATTTGATGGCACATACCTTTAATAGACCGCTATATTAAATTATACTTCATATACATACCTCAAACCTAATAAAATGTTTTGATAACCTGTAAACCCCATAAATATACAATTGTACCTTATACACGTACCTCAAACGTTCTGAAGGTTTGAATTAAGATCGATGTGAATTATGTACAGCTCTTCCCTAGTTGGTCAGATTGATTACAATTACATGATGGTTTAATCCTGTCTATACAAAGGACCACACAAACTCTCCATTGACCATTTACCTGTTATTCATGCTTTTCTGATAGTACTTGCACTGGATCACTTGAAAGGCTTGTCAGAGGTTTGTCCAACCTGTCAATAACTAACATAGTTTTCAAGATATTTCTTAATTAAAAATTTGCATGAATGTCTCAATCACAATAGTAGTAGGTAAACAGTTCTCAATAATTTAAAAGAATGTCCACCCATTCGGTTAAACGTGCTACATGAATGTTGCATTAATTTCCCCTTTGTTTTTTTCAATGACAGGGAGGCTTATCCGGATGTGGTTGTCACAGATGTACAGTTTGCCTATGACATAGCAAGACTCAAGAGACTTGATACACAGAGGTATGATCATACAAACACCTCTTGCCCCCCATAGAAGTTATACAACTTTTAAATGTGAAGACAGCTTGCGTGAATGTATTACACAAGTGGGGTAATATGCTCCACCCCTTTTGCAACATTGCATCTTTTATGATGCACCTGTATCCCTTGAATATTATTAATTATTGTTTGTATGAAGAGATTTGTGCAGACTAGAAAAATTGGTGAAGCTTATGCTTTGCGCAAAAGTACCTAGAGGACCATACACTATTTATCCATACCTCATAGTTTAGGGTGCCCGAACGCATAAATAGTGCATACATGTTTGAATTCACATGGGCTAAGCCAATGGTTGTACATGGCTACAGCTCTTGTAAAATATTTATGCAGGGACAAAATATGTTTTGTTCACTGTATTTAATGTTGAAGTTCATACACAAATATAAGGATGTCATAATCAGAGACAGGAGGCTTAAGAATACCTAATCATTGTGCCTGATTATGCACATGTTCTTTGTTTGGTAGTATGCATGCTAAATGTTGATACTCTCTTTAAGTTAATGTTGCTAATAATAATGTGAATTTAAATGGTCATCTCAAGAAAAAAACCATTGAATTGAACATTTGCAACTTGTATGGAAATGTCAATCTTTAAAATGGCAGATACAGCTGGGATGATTGTCTAGATCACTCAAATAGGTTTCTCTTTACAACATATTCTTTTGAAATAATTTTTTCTTTAAACTATTAAATCAAATAGTTCATGTTTGATTATATGGAGATTGTTTTGTTTGCTTTCAGACGAGATGCTCACCTAAACAGACTGCATTGTGAAAAGATCTACCAGAGGACCACCCAGCGCCCCACCCTCAGACCTGGCACATGTGGCCAGTTAGGGTGTGGAGGGCCAAAGGTATGTCCTCATGAAAGATATCTTGTGAATTTTCTTTTTAATCAGGAAAGCGATGGAAGAGGAAAATCACCATAGTGGCCTGTCGAAACGCGTCATATGACGCACATAAACCTAGGTTTTTCGACAAACCCCCTTTGTGAATTCGGGCCTATATGTTTGTACTGTTCCATACCTTTCATATTGGTATATTGTAACCAAAAGTATCCACTAAAGCAATATTAGAGGAATACCTTTGAATTGTTGAGTCAGGTTAAAGAGAGTGACTAATGGGGCGTTGCAAGAAAGTTGCGATTGATTGCAAGTTGCAAAATTTGCAACTGATATTTGCATTCAATTGCAACTCAATTTTCTTGCAACGCCCCACTAGTTTCCTACATTTCCTAGGATTTTGTTAAGATTAAAGTTCTAACAAATAAATTAAGTTAACTAGATCTAGCTTTTATTCTCCCCCCCCCCCTCTCTCTCTCTAACTAATGTGGCGTTGCAAGAAAGTTGAGTTGCGATCAATTGCAAATTTGCAATTAATCACAAGATTTACGCTTGATTTGGGGGATTTGCAATTGATTGCAACTTTCTTGCAACACCCCATTAGACTGAGGTAAATATTATACAGTATTGAGAAAGAGACTTTTGGTCCTCTGTCTCTTCCATTTTCCAATTTCTTTTTCTCTTCCTCTTCTTCCTTTTGTAGCACCCTCTTCTTTCTCTCTGTTTCTGTCTGTCTGTCTGTCTGTCTCTTTCTTTCTCTTACTCTTTCTCTAATGTTTCTATCATTATTTTGTATTGCCTGTCTTATAGTAAGTCTCAATTTTTTTTTCCAAGTATATCTCAAACTTTTTTTCTTGCAACTGTCAACTAATATAGCGCCATTTGCCTTTGAACCATCTTCCTAATCTTGACCTGTAGGTGGATGCTATCGAGTACTATGGTAACGAGGAGGAGGCCCTCACTGTTACTGTAGCCGAGGAGAAGAGAAAGGCTCTGAAGAGCAACCTTGGTATGGCCTTTGTTTCAGTACACAGTGAGACCATGGCAACAAAGTAAGTTTTTGTTTGTTCCGTCTGACATGTTTTTATTTTGATTATAATCATTACTTTATCATCAAGTGAGAATGTCTCGGGAGCCTTTGATACAACTTTTGAATTGTCTGTTTATTTGTATACCAAAATGAGATCTTCAATGAAATTGAAGATCAGATTTAAAAATTTAAAAAAAAATATTCAAGAGATCAAGGAAGAGGGGAAAGTACTAAGAGAAGGAGAGGAGGAGATATAGAGGGGGAGGGGGGGGGGGGGGTAACGTGAGCTCTAACCTAGATAGGAAGAGAAAAAGGTCAAGAGCAGAAGGAGTAGGAAATTATAACCCACCTGGTGTATTCTGAATCACTTTCTGAAATGGTTAAAATTCAATCTTTAATCAATGTAACCAAACAAAGTTATGTATATTATGATGGGAGATCATTGTCTATTTTAATCTCCAATTCATTATAACCCACTTCCATTCTTATTCACTTCTAAGGTATGACTTCCCTATGTGAAACCAATACCAGTACCATATTAGTCATTGATCAATGTCCTCTGTCCCCCCTCAGGATTGTGACTGACTATACCACCCTAAAGACAGGGCCACCTACAGTCTCCAGTGTGAGCAGACAGCTTCATTCCACTGTATGGGAGGTGGACTTTGCCCCCAAGCCTGATGACATCATCTGGTGAGATTTTCTTTCTTAACCCCTTGACTACTGAATTTTCTCATTCCCATAGGCTTAATACAGGAATCACCCAGTTCCTGTAGACAGTGGGTTAATTTGTGATCCATCTGATATGGTTTCATTTAGTTCATTGGAAACACATTCCCAATGTGTTTTATCTTGAGGTATCTTTGGCTTAGTGTTCCATTATTTGTAGAGCTTTTGGTCTTATTTTCTCTCAAATTCATCATGACCGGCATGCATTACTATAGAAAAAAACATTTGAGCAGCTTTGAGGTAACCAACATAAAAGTCATAGGCTAATTATGTAAAACAAGCAATTTTCATTCTTTTAAAGCCTCTATTATACCTCCCCACTTTATTTTGCATTTTATTGTTAAATTTCTTTAAAAAAAATTGAGGAAAAGCATGGCTATTCGATTATTTCTTTTCACCTTTTTCTCATTTCTCCAGGGAAAATCTCTCCATCAGTCCATATGTATGGTGGCTTAGTGTCATCTTAATCAACATTGGTAAGTTTTTCTTTTTATGCCTCCGTTACGAAGTAGCCGGAGGCATTATGTTTTCGGGTTGTCCGTCCGTCCGTCCGTCCGTACGTCCGTACGTCCGTACGTCCGTCCGTCCGTCCGTACGTCCCGTTCTCGTGATCGCGTTATCTGAAGAACCGATTGATGGATTCCTGCCAAACTTTGGTCATGTATGTTACTTGCAGAGCCGATGAACTGATTAGATTTTGGGGTCACGAGGTCAAAGGTCAAAGGTCACAGGGCTCATTATGTATGCAAAAACAGCTCGTGATCGCGTTATCTGAAGAACCGATTGATGGATTCCTGCCAAACTTTGGTCTTGTATGTATCTTGCAGAGCCGATGAACTGATTAGATTTTGGGGTCACAAGGTCAAAGGTCACAGGTCACAGGGCTCATTAGGTATGCAAAAAGAGCTCGTGATCGCATTATCTCAAGAACCGATCGATGGATTCCTGCCAAACTTTGGTCATGTATGTATCTTGCAGAGCCGATGAACTGAATAGATTTTGGGGTCACGAGGTCAAAGGTCAAAGGTCACAGGGCTCATTATGTATGCAAAAATAGCTTGTGATCGCATTCTCATTAGAACAGATTGATGGATTCCTGCCAAATTTCGATCATGTATGTATCTTGCAGAGCCAATGAACTGAGTAGATTCATGGGTCATGAGGTCAAAGGTCATGGGCTCATTATGTATCCAAAAATAACTTGTGAACGCATTCTCATTAGAACTGACAGATGGATTACTATTTAACTCAGGACATCTTGCAGAGCCAATGAACTGAGTAGATTTTAGGGTCATCAGGTCAAAGATCAAAGGGTCATATATGTATATGAGAAATTGCTTGTAATCACGATATTCTGAGAACCTCTTAATGGATTACAATTGAACTTGAATTTGAAAAATTTCTTCTGTTTTGGTTTGTAAAATTGCTCTATGACGGAGGCATCATTTTCGACTGCGCGCAGTCGAAGTTCCATCTAGTTTATTGTTTCATTGAAAGTGCCAACTCTAGTGTTACAGCACCATCTCCTATTCATTACCAACTTTATGGAACTGAAAAATTTCACATGATACAGGAAATTCTATTACAATTAATTCAAGGGGATTGTGGAAACTGAAAACTTCTAATAGTATAATTTTTTTTTTAAAGCGAAATAATAACAGTATAGATTTATTGAATATTTGATTGTATGATTGAAATGAATATTACATTGCAGGAATCTATTATGTTTTAAAAACAATATGTACTCTTCTTCATGTATGACGCATCACTAAATATACAATAAAGAATGATGGAATTCTATTCTTCAATTTCAAATCAAGTTTCATACATGAGTGAAAAATCTTGCATTATTCACATGTCTTCAGTTGTTTATTTTTCTTCCCTTGCCTCTGATGTGGACGGTGACAATTAACCCTCGCTTTAGCTGGTAAAATGTCCTCATAATGTTTCTTATGTTTGTCTTGTTTGCTATCCATGCAGCTCTGTTTGTGCTGCTCTTCTTCCTGACGACTCCTTCTGTCATCATGACCACCCTGGACACTACAAACTACAAGGAAACTTTCGCTAATGCAAAGGTCGGTAATATCATCAGAAATTCATGTTTTTGTTATGTATTTTATTGTGCAAATTGATTGATATGTTTATTAATATGTAAAAATGTACCATCATTGTAAATATGAAAAATTGAAAGAGGAAAACTAAATGAATTGAATATTTTTTTAATATCATTCAATTTATTACCAGTACATCATTCTTAACAAAAATATGCCATTTTGGAGAAGAAAAATTGCCTGGATTGGGTCATCGGATTTACAAAACATGAAATTTTTCAATCTTAACCCTTTTGCAGGAATTCATGATTTTTAAAAGAAATGAATAGAAATTGCCTTACCTAAATTAGATATAAATTTTGAAAGAATTTGCAGAATTTGGGTCATCCAATTTATTGCAAAATATGAAATTGCTCTAATCCTGCCCCTTATGCCGTAAAATATGTTTTTAGATGGAAAGTTTAAAAAAACTTGGCCCTTTACTTGTGAGGAGAATCTGAATCATGTGTCATTGTCCCTCCTCATACACAAAGTTTTCCTCATTTCATTGCTGGTTTTGAGAAGAATCCTCACTTTACAAAACTCTGAATGTGTCTCAGAAATTTAATTTTCTTTAAACTGCAAGAAATATTTTCCATTCCCCCAAATTAACCACTTGCAAATCACTTTTCTCCACAGTCCCCGTTCGTGTCTCAGTTCCTGCCCACCCTCCTGCTGTGGACCTTTGCAGCCCTCCTGCCTCTCCTGGTGGTTTACTCCAGCTACTACTTTGAGTTCCATTGGACCCGTACTAAACTCAACCATACCATCATGAGGAAAACATTCATCTTTCTCCTTCTCATGATCCTTATACTGCCCTCTCTTGGCCTTGCTAGGTAAGGTGTCTCCGTCTGTCAATAGAAGATGTTCGTTTTCTCAGTGACTTTGAGTTAGTTATTAGATAGGCGATTTGTTTTAAAATAGCCTAAGAAATTGAGAGTAATTGTTCATTTCTAATGATAAATTCTAGAGAAGACGTTAATGCTCTAAAGGGTATTTGAGTGTATAACGCGGATATCTTATCATTACTTTGTATAGTGATTTGTATCCACAGGAATAACTGCTTTAAACTTGGGTTTATCTGTGTCAATTAATGATATCAATTTTGTTCTCATTGAAAACATTCAATATGGATATAGGTTTTCAGCTAGTTTAACCCAATTCATAACACTACCAAGAATCTTTTAATTTAATTTTTGTATCCATTTCTTTTTTTTCTTCTCAGTGCTCAGGCTTTATTTGAATACAGCTTGAAAAGTGTGGCAGAGATCAAGATGAGATGGGGGTAAGTTGGACATATTATTCCATGTATACAAACAGGAAGGGTATAAAAGATAGGGCTCATTATATTAAGCACTAGTTTGTGAAACAGGTCTTCTATACCAAAGAATATTGGCTTGTTTGCCATATTAAGATCAATCTGTATGATGAAGATGCTGTATAGCCATCCTTGCAGACATGAAGACTATAACTCTGTAAGAACAAAAGGCTATCTCTAACAAGAAGTGCTTTGTACTTTATACTTTACCTGCAAATTATTTACATATTCCGATGCTCTTACATCTGGTTGATTTGGAGCTTAGAGTTAAACTATAATGTTATTTCGAATTGATATTTTTAGGATTCTGTAGGAATTGCTTTATTTTAACAGTGAAGATTTTTTATTCACTGTAATCGATGATTGTCTCAGCTTAGATTATTCGGACCACTAAATTTGCACAATTTTCTTGCAAACAAATGTGTCTGATTTTTTAATATATAAATTTTAAGGGCCAACATCTCAACATATTCTTGAACTGTCTCTACCTTCCGACCAGATTGCCATCATTAACCTCTTTAAAATGTAAGTTTACCAATCTGTTTGTCTATTACTTATCTTTCCATGACTATGTAGATGCATATTTCTTCCTGAGAATGGAGCCTTCTTTGTAAACTTCATCATCACATCGGCCTTTATCGGCACAGCCCTCGAACTTATCCGCTTCCCAGAACTCTTCTACTATGGAATCAACATGCTGTGGACACGGTCCGAGGCTGAAAAGATCACAAAACGAAGTGTGAGTGAAGTTTAAAGATAAACTTGAGTTCTGGTAAAAAAGGAAAATGGCATTCTCACAGAATCAAACGAAACTTACACTGAATGTTTAAGATTACAAATAAATGTCATTTGCCAAACAATTTTGGTAGAAAAATCTTTGTGTGACCGGTTTTACCATACTCATTTTCCCCCATAGCCTGTAGTGTAAGAAAAACCGTTAGGAAAACAAATTTTTAAATAACCTGATAATCTGATGTGAAAACAGTGGGTCATTTGTTAATGAAGTTGGAGATTGTGATTTGTGATTAGAAATATGATGTTTTCGATGTCTAATTACAAAGGAGAGAAATCCACAAAGCAAAGCCAGAGTTTTATTGCTTGGCAACTTTTGGTTTTGATAAGAGTTAGCTATTTATTTTCTGGATAATGATGATGGGAAATATCGTGGGGAATGTGATTTAAACAGGTCAAAGTCAACACTTGAAGGTTGAGAGCAGTTCTCAAAACAACAAGGAGGAGTGTATTGCTTGGAAACCATCAGGTTGTTGAATCAGGATAGAGAATGGGATGAAGAGTGTGATTTAAAAAGTTAAAAGTGATGTTTGTTAAAATTGAAAGCTCTTTTTTTATTTGTTATCTGAATGAAAGTTTAGCTAATTTTAAGCCTCATCAAGGTGGTATATACATTTAACAGCTCCATATCCTAACATTGTGGTTCTACCTCTGTGTGATAACATTTTGATTATCAACAATTATGCAGTTTGCTTTCTAGACGCACTTCATCGTGCCACTACATTTCGCTATTTAAGCCACCTTAATGAAATGTGCGACAGTTGCCTAGCAACCATGTGTTCTCAGAAAAGAAGGGGGATTGGAGATGAGAGATGAGATGAAGCAGGAGATTTATCACTCGAAGAGATTTGGGAATTGTGATTGGAATGTAGAATCAAAAGCTAGAAATGTTGTGGGTAGATGTATCCCCAGGAAAGATTGCTGGAAAACAAATTGCTTTTCTGTTTTGAGGCAACCATAGAAATGTAAATCGGAACAAACTGAGTAGGAAGAGGATTTACCTTTTTGGAATGAGCATGGGTAAAATGTAATGAATAATGGGATATCCACAGATCAAGAGATAAATGTGAAGTTTTCGCCTCAAGCAGAGGAGATTTCAATTCGTTATCGTCTGTAATGGAATTTCTTTTGATTGTGCAATGAAATGTCTTTTCCAAAAGTGAAAAGGAAGGAAAACGCAGTGGAGATTGGTTGACAAAGATATAGATTGTGATGTGATGAGGAATTTGTTTTGTAAAGATCAAAAGGTAAATAGAAGGTTGTTTTTTATGATTGTTGCAAAATGCAAAGGTGCAAATTTATTGATACCCAAGGTAATAATATTTGTTATGATATTAATTTGACAATGTTACATGTATTTCTATCATTTTCTATTCTATGAGGTGATGACCCTAGTCGTCAAATGATGTTGTTGCTAGAACTATGAATGCCATTAATTCATGGAACGTCGCAAATATGAATAATTGATTAGAAAAAAGTTTAATGTTAAATCGTTTTCATTTTGTCTTTGCAGAGAGTGGCATATGAGTTTCAATATGGTGTCCAGTACGCCTGGATCCTAACAACTTTCACTGTCGTCCTGGTATACAGTATAACATGCCCTCTTATTGCTCCATTTGGTAAGTACCTCCAACTCATGTCTAAATCAATTCCATATCTGATAAATAATTGTATGATATCTCTTTGAGTATAAACATATTATCATGTTATCCATCATTTTTTATTCATTTTTATAACTACCTACATGGCGCTGTAATACAAGTGATTAATTAAAAACATTTTAATCTTGAAATAATATCTCAATTCTTATGTTGAAAGAGGGATACTTCTTGTCTTTGAGGCTTTGAATTTGTTACGAGTCAAGAATTTATTATAGAGCTACGAATATATATATATATATATATTTATGTAATTTTAAAACATTGTGTTTTATTTTGTTGCAGGTTTGATTTACTTTGTGCTGAAGCATCTAGTGGATAGATACAACATCTATTTTGCCTACATTCCCTCACGCATTCATCAGGGCATCCATCAAAGTGCTGTTAACTTTGTGGTCATCGCTGGAATGCTGTTACAGCTCTCAGTGCTCTTCTTTTCTGTGCTTAGGCTTGGTGAGTATTGATAGATAGATAGATAGATAGATAGATAGATTGATTGATTGATTGATTGATTGATTGATAGATAGATAGATAAATAAATAGTTAGATAGATATATAGATGGATGCTTTTAGATAGATAAATAAATTGATTAGTTGATTGTTGCCTAAGTTGCAATATCTTTCAGTTGCTATAGACCATTGTAGTCATGACAGTGATAAAGGCTTGATGAAGATTGATTGCATGATTAACTGAGTGACTGAGTGACTGATTGACTGTCAATTTGACTGACCGATTGATTGATTGGTTAATTGATAATGCATTGATTGATTTAATCATTCTTTACAACTAGACATTTTGATGACCCAATGTTATGCTTTTCTTTAATTCCATAGAATTCTGTCATTTGAAAACTATTTTCTTTTTCAGTTTTCTGTTAAAATTGTAATCGGATGCATGTTCATCTAATACTGACTTTTATAGAATTGTTGCCTTGCTGCTGCAGTTAAGGATACTCCTTGTGATACTTATACAGTACATGGATATGTGAAAAAAAAGTTATAACAAAGGACTTCTTATACTTGTAGCTATATAACAGTAATGACATGTACGTTTATTAAAAAATATTTTATCATTAAATCCTTTTATACATGTATAGTTAACAACAACTACATTATTCATGTCCCTACCAAGCTTTGTAATTTTTTAAGTATGTCAGCGATTGATTTGTCCTGATTTATTTTTCTTGAACATGTGACGCATTACAGCATACATCTAAAAGTGTTCAATAAAGGCCCTAATTCAACCAGTCCACCTTTCATACTTGATTTATGAAGAAAACAGAAAAACATAAAATCTGCCAGGGCTATGAATAATTTAGTTGTCAATTGTATATGTATATCTTACCAATTTCCTGAAGGTGAACTACATCTTTAAAATGAGGTTTTGACAATGAGGAAAAGGGTTGAGTTTTATCGAGAAAGAAACACATTTCAAGGGAAATGCCAGTGTTTGTGCATGTGCAGAATCTCTGGGGAGAATTAGGATTATGTGATAGAGGTCGAGAATTATCAAGATTGTAACCATTGTTCAGTGCAAATGTTCATCTGTCTGCCTGTGCAGAGTCTTTAGGCTGAATTAAGATAATATACGAATCTATTTTAATAGAAGAAGAAGAAGAAAAAAAAAACTACTGATACCACTTTATGTTGGCATTAATCATAAAATAAAGGGATATTTAGTTGCAATTTTCTGAACATAACAAGATAAATTGTCAACATTGTATCAAATTCCCTGAAGCCTCCTTTCAATGGTTATTCAAAGTGATAAAAATGCATGAAACATTCTTCAAAACCCTTAGAGGAGTGCTGCCGTATCTTTTCCAATCCTATTTTTCATCCCCCCATAATATGCAGTCGTAAAAAAGTTTCAGATAAACAATATCAGGCTTGTCCCCCTCGGTTACATCTTAACGATCTAACAAGTCATGTTACTTGACGAGCCTACATTTAGCTCCTGACTCTATGGCTTTGTGAAGCTTTTGATTCACTATGGGATGTGAATTAATAATGTGACCTTAGTGAGAGGATGAATAGGAGGATTTCGCTGTCACAAACAAGTAATGTTTGAAGATTGAAGTGAACAGAAATAAAACATTTATGTTCTAGCTTATCTGAACCAAATAAGCTAAATGAGCTATTCAGAGCAATCTTTGTCTGTTGTGCGTCATCTATCGCACGTCACATGAACAAATATTTTCTACTTTTTTTTTTATTATATAAGACATATATGTATATTCTGAAAGTTAAGACTAGTGGAATCATTCTGTAGTAAAAAAGGAAAGTAATATGTTAAAATGGTGCACCTGATTCCTGGCTCTCAGGTGCAAAGGCAAAATAATATAGTCTGCTATAAATTAAAGAGAAAACAAACAACTTTCTTGATACAGACATACTAGAGCTTGTTCCATGGAGCAATTTGACCAACATTTCGGAAGAAGGGAATACTCTTCATTTGATCGCATAAATCACCTACAATACATTGATATTCAGCTCTGACTTGTATGGTATAAAGAGTTACTAGTCATAATGATAATACTAATATCAATTATTTAGGAGTGCTGAGAACAAAAAGTAAAACAGTGCTTACAAAATTGCAGAATGGGAAGAGAAACATAATAACACATAGACACATAAAATGGGTTAATCACATAAGGTTACTGAGGGAAGAAATATGTTTTCAGTTTTAAGGGATCTTTTGAAAGAGGCAAGGCAGGTTAATTCTCTAATGGAAAGTGGGATATATGACATATATGTAAACAACAAAAGCTCTGCAAATGATTTGCGACAGTCAAAATTGCTAACTTTCCAATGATTGAGCCAGAAGTATCCCCACCGTATCCCTAAACTTAAACCAAACAAAAACCAGAATAACAAGCAAGAGAGCTAGAAGGGCATAAACATTATGTAAGAAAAGAGTTAAGACTCTCCTGGCACCTGGCAGACAATATCTCTGATTAAAAATACATGAAAAGCCCATAGCAATGTTGAATCATCCTTGCAATCTCCCCTCCTCGAATGTCTTTGTATGGCTTTGGATCTATTTTGAAGTGAGATGATATAATGTTAATGTGTGAATGTTTGAGAGTCTCACATTCAATCAAATGAATGTTTTCATACATCATGCCCTCCAGTGTACGATGAAGTCAATATAATTTGCAGACGTAACTGATACAGCCACAAGGGGGGATGAGAAAAGACAAACACATATTAAGTAATAATGCTTCCTAGGCATTCATACTAGAAGAAATTAGTACACAATTTTTTTAAAATACATTGTAAAAAGAATCTTAGAAAGAATCATGTCATTTCAAAGAGACATGGGATAAGAATCATTTAAAGGAACGTAGTATGATATTATATATTAGTGAGAAAGTTAGTTTGGGAAGAGGTCAGCTTACATTTCACTGTACAACATTTCATTAAATGACATATGATGTTTAGGCAATATGTACAAATAAATTCACTACTAATTGCAAATCTATACTACAGTGTGTACGGTATTCATATTTGGATAAGGGTTCTATAACGGTTCAGTTTTATGGAATAACCTTCCTATATCCCTTAAGATTATTAAGACAATCGAGCTTCTTAAACAACTATATAAGCAATTTCTTCTTGATAATGTTTCCTCCTTTTCTCTATTTTCTTTATCTTCTTTTTCCCCCTTTTTGGGGTAATTTTATTTTATGTAAATTCTGCCAACGTTATTATTATTTTGTATATTTTGTGAGGATCATTTTAACAAGCCATTTATGTGCTTTCCATCATCCTCCCACTTCAGATATCTTATTGTATATGTTTGTATTTTGAAGATTACATAACATGGTTTGTGGAAATAAAATGAAATATAAATGCTAGTGTGAATGAGGAGTAAGCACACTCTGTCTGGGTTCTTAGAAATTATTATTTTTAGACTCTCATGAAATTGACAATGTGTGCCTGTTTGTCAGCTCATGTAGCTACGGTATCTTTTTGTCAGACAGGCATGGTGTAACTTTAGACTATATGTACAAATAAATTAATTAATAATCACAAAGCTTATATTTTGACTGTATGATTGGTATTTTTTGGTAGTGTGAAAAAGGGGTAACTGTGGTTTTTTTCTTCCTCTTTTTGTTTGGTATGGTGGTACTAAGCATGTTCTGTCTGGGTTCTTAGAATTCATTACTTTTAGACTCTCATGAAATTCAACACCCCAAGACAAATACAATGTGTGTATTGCTCATGTAGCTATGATATCTTTTTGTCAGACAGGCACGGTGTAACTTTAGACTATATGTACAAATTAATTAATTAATAATCACAAAGCTTATATTTTGACTGTATGATTGGTATATTTGGGTAGTATGAAATAGGGGTAACTGTGTTTTTTTTCTTCTTTTTTGTTTGGTATGGTGGTAAGCATGTTCTGTCTGGGTTCTTAGAATTCATTATTTTTAGACTCTCATGAAACTCAACACCCCAAGACAATGACAAACGGTGTGCCTGTTTGTACATATGAGATGTTTGCTTATGTAGCTATGTTTTCTTTGGATCTGGCAGGCATGGTGCAGCATGTATTTGCTGAAAGGTTCATTTATTGATACATGAATTTTCCAAACTGGAGTTTGCTCAACTTTGTCAACATTGCTGATGCGTTTACTTTTTATTCTTGAAAATTATGATTACTTTATATTTAGATTTTCTATTTTGTGCCCCAAACTGAAACAAAATCTTCTCATCAAGTGATATGCCCCAGACATGGGGACATTAGAAAATAATAAAAACATAAAAAATATGAAGTGATGCCTTCAACTTAACAAATTTAACATACATGAATATATCTTTAACACAATGTAGTTCAAATTCTAATGATCAATATTGTTCAATTCATAAACTATTTGTAGTCTAATTCTGATTCTGAGTTCAGTGATTGGAATTGAGTGACTTTCTAAACATATTCTTTAGGCATTACTCCCAGTGTTGTAGATTGTATGCTCAATCTGTCATAGCAATCACAAGTCAGAAGAAAAAAAAATGATTTGAGTTGTTTGATTTCTTCATTAAAAATATGTGAAATTGACATGTACCACCATGTGACTGTGTTTTTGTAATGATATCTGATATGTAAATGCTAACATTTAGGTATATCCCTTGTCTCATGTACAGGTTCTGTGGACCCTCGATCGATCCTGTTGTTCGTGTTCTTGGTCCTGACCATCGGCCTGTACATTGCTAAGGTTTGTTTCAACATCTGGATGGGTTATGTACCTCCAGAATACGATGAATTCAACAACGAGGAAGAACCTGTGATTGAGAAAGAAGTAGAACACAAGGTAAGAAAAATGTCTGTCTGTTTGTCTGTCTGTTTGTCTGTCTGTCTGTGTGCTTGTCTGTTTGCTTGTCTGTTTTTTTGCCTGTCTGTTTTGTGTCTGGACTATTCATCTATACATTTCCAAGGTTTGTTTCAACATTTGAATAGATTATGTACATCCAGCTTACTAGGAATTCAACAAATAAGGGAGAACCCAGGCAGGAGAAAGGAGTCATATAAGAAAAATATTTGTCTGTTTGTGTGTTTACTTGTCTATTTGTCTGTCTGACTTGTATCTGTCTGTGTGTTTACTTGTCCTTTTGTCTTTCTATATGTCTGTTTGCGTATTTACTTGTCTGTTGCTACACGTATGTCTTGACCATTAGCCTATGCATCGTAATTAAAGGTACATGTACATGTTGAAATCAACATCTGAATGTGCTACATGTTTGTGCCTCCAGCCTTTGATGAATTCAGAAAGAAGCTAAACACAAGATAAGACAAACGTTTGTCTGTCGATATGGCTTGACCATAAGTCTGTTCTATGTTAAGTTACTCTTCAATATCTGATGGGCAATGTGGATATAGTCTGATGCTTTCAGCAATGAGGAAGAATCTGTGCGGGAGAAAATAGTAGAACACAAGGCAAAGAAACTGTCTGTTTGTCTGTATGTATGTCGCTGTGTCCTGATCATTTGTATATACAGCCTTGGAATGTTTAACTTGAAGTGTTTGCATTTAAATTTGTTTCATTTAGTACCACTTGTCATTTGAGGCAATGTTTATATATGTTGTTATAAGAGAAGTGAGTATGAAGAGCAGGAGCTAAGGTAACAGTTTTTTGCTTTCCTTCAAAATTTGCCATCTAGCCATAGTAGGCCTACATCTATGTTTTTATAACTGAAGGAACAGAGCATTTGTAACCATTGTTATGAGAGGGAAAAAATTGCCTAATCTTAAGAAGTTTAACCTTACCTGAACTTTTATCAATAACCTTGGTAGTGCCTAATTTCTTGACTTGTAATACATTTGTTTGGGAGCAGTACCTTCACCCGTCGTTCTCGTTTGGTAACGACTTATCCCATCTTGACAAGGTAGGAATCAGAAACAGATTGTTGTTGGTTGGTGTGGTTGATGTTGTAACTCACACATGGTTGGTTTGCTAGGTTTTAGAAGTCTTCAGTTCATTTATTAATCTACATGTGTTAACCAGGGTTTATGGGATAAAAGGTAAAACTATGTACTACATGATGGGTTTGTTAATCCATAGCAGTTTAGTGTCACGTTTTAGAGACATTTTTTATTTTATCTTTTGATCCTGAATGATGTAAATTACAAATTGTACATGAGCAGTATTAAAGTGCAGAAATCGTAGGAAATTTGACTTAATTTCTGGTGCACTTCATGAAAAAGATTCTTTTAATCGAAAAATGATAATTGAAGTCTCACAATTGGCATTACAGAGTGAAATTTATAGTCACTATTTTCCTGTACAAGTTGGCAAATTTTTGCTGATTTTCCTTATTTTCATTGATACTGTTTCATTTAATGCATATGAAAGAGTGGAAATACAAATAACTGTTGCCAATTTGAGGAGGAAATGCAGATCCTTTAGAAATCTCTGAACTAACTGCTATGGGTTACATAGGAATGGCAGTGGTTGATGGAATAACTCACTGTTGGTTTGCCAGGTTTTCAGTCTTCTTTCAGTGTATTAACCAGGGTGTATGGGATAACCATAAATGTATGATGGGTCTGATGAACATTTATGTTCTAATTGGAGTGGTTGAAGTTCTAACATCCATGATTGGTAATTGTGGTTTGAAAGTCTGTAGTGTTAATACTTACCCAGTAACTTGGATTGACAAGTTTCAAGTAGAGCTTTAGGGACTTTTAAAAGACAACATCTGCATGTTCTAACTTCTACAGTTTTTAATTGATTGTACATGCAAATGGTGTTATAACTCACATCCGTAGATATTAGGTCTGTCCTCATTAGCTCCAGTTTGCCAAATAACCAGTTATTTTAACTATCCCGATCTCAAATTAACCAGCGTCTTCATCAGCCAGCAGTTGCAATTAGCGGGATATTTGGTCGAGAAAATATCCCAAGAATTCTTGGTCTTGTTTCCAAAATATCCCGCTATTTCCCAAATAGCAGGCTAATTTTCGCCCGTCGGAGCTAGTTTGTGAAGACACAATTTCTAGCTTCAGGATAATATCCGGAGTCTGAAAATAGCAGGTTATTAGGCATACTCGAGCTGATGATGACAGGCCTATTGAGGTTTTACAGTTTATCATTTCATTGTGTGATATGTCTAACCTTGTTTATACCTTGGGGTGGTTTAAGGGATTAAGGTGGAACTATTGACGTACTGTAACAGAATGTTGTTGGGCGGGGTATGTTCTAACAACCTTGTTTGGTATGTGAGGTTTTACTAGTCCTAAATGCATTGTCTGTTGATACTAAGTGAGTATTGCATGATATTTATAAAGTCAAAGGATTTAAAGGAAACCTCACCCCAAAGAAGAAGTGTAGGTATTGTGAAAAATGAGATATATTCCTGCCCTTTGATGTACAATATTCCGTACAAAAGTGTACAATGATGCCTTTTATAAATTGGCAAGAATACAATAAATCTCTCAGAATAACTAAAGTTATTTCTTGAGGTGAGGTTTCCTTTATAAAGTTCTTACATATATATACATGTATGGCTTCTGAAAGCTTATAAAATATATAAATTGGTTGAAGTAGTGGATATTATAACCCATTAGTTTGGATATATGGCTTTTAATTACATTCAGTTGCAGTCATCTGATGAAGAGAATTTGCATGCGAGTACAAATATCATAAACCACATGCTAGAATGTTTGATGGTTGGAGTGGTTGAAATTAATTCTTTCTTGTAATTGAGAATTTCAGTGTTTACATCATGTACACTTCAATAAATTTCTTGATTTGTATTACCAAGAGAAAGTGTATGTTCCTATCCTAGATGTGTGTACTATTGTCTTGAAAGAACTTTCTAGATTGAAACAACGCCATCTACAGTTTTAAAAAAGCCAGTCTGTCTGTATGGGCACTTCAGTGAGTTGCGCCGATGGTTTCGGTTTCTATTCTAAGTGTTTTGTTAGATGTGTTTAGAATATCTTAGGAATCAAGCAGTGTTCACTGTTTTCCAAGATTGTAAAGGTTCCGGGGCACACACTGAAACCGTTATTAAGGTTTAAATCAATTATGTACCAGACTGGTACCATTACTGCTATGCTTTAATACTACATGTATTATTACTGAAAGCTGGATTCCATTTTTCTTTCATTTAATTACCACTAAACTTCTTACTTAATTGAATTATTTTCTACTTCTCAGAACTAACATTTCAATTTGTTGTTTAGCTAAAACTTTAATATTTGTTCTTTGTTAATTGCTACTCCTTTTACTTCCAAAGCAGTTCCTTATCATAAATTATGCAGTGAAACCTGCTTTAGCTTTTTCCTGTCTATAAAGACTGCATCTTTTGTTTCCTTTGAAAAAGTTTTGCTCATTGAAACCTTTATCAAAGGGAACCTGAATATGTAAAGGTCATCTTTGCTGTGTTCGTTGGGCTGTGTTAATACAGGTTTAATCATATGTATATAAATGCATTTTTTTTTGTAGTTGAACATTCCTAAAGTCTCCTTACCCCCACCCCCCAAAAACGGAATACTGATAAAGACATATAACAGGTGAATTATTTAGAGAATCAAGAACTTATATGAATATGCACACTTATATTTAATAAAGTCGTGAGTTATGTGTGTACCAGTACTAGTTTTGGTCTAATAATTAGATGGAAAGCTGATAAACCATGATTTGTTACACGATGTAGCTTGCCACAGACAAAGCCAAAGGAGATAGGGGAAAAAGTGCAAACTATATTGGAATGGAGTAACCTTGATATAGAATGTCTGCTTTGAATTGTCTGACCTCCAATACTCATTATAGATAGAGTGTGTTTCAATTGGAGGCAATCAGCTAATTTACATCCTAACTAGGTGGCGTGAGCACCTCATAATGAAACTCGACGTGAGCTAGTGTATGCAGCCAGTAGCCTGGTGGATTGTGATACGTGTTTGTCGCGTCGCCTCTAATGACAGAACGTTTCTCTCCTTTTATTCGTGGGGACCTGTTTGCAAAAGAGGGGCAGGCAGCATGATCCAGACGGCAGTGAAATGAAACATTTTGTCGTTGAGCTTAGGATGCTGCATGTGTTGTAGTATGATATAGCACAGTGTATTTTGTATAGAACAAGCTTGAGCCAAAAAAAAAAAAAAAACAGTAACGCCACTCACAATTAATCTTATTATTAGATACCGTTATATTAAAATAAATGTTGTAAATTTAGTAATATGAAAATATACCCTCAAATGCTCAATTTACAAAATCAACAGTATTATATATGAAAATCTTATTATTTTACATGCATGTAATGCTACGGTCACAAAGGTTCGTACAAATGTTAATTTCGTACATATCTCCCTGTTTTTCCATTGTCTTCCTGAATTTCCATTGTCTGAAAATCGTTCGTACGGCGTTGACCGAGGCTTTAATAAATATAAATGCTGATTCATTCAGTACATAAGAGAATTATAGGACTGTAGAAACTATTACTGGACGACTAAGGACTTGGACCTTTTGATTACATATTAAGATATTGAAAATCAGGAAAACTAAGCATGCTTTCAATATAGGTTGCCATTACATTTATTTACAGTGTGTACATGTATGTGTGTGCGTGTCTGTGTTAATAGTTTTCGCTTCTTTATTCTTTTATTCAAAATTTTCCAATGACATGTTAATTCCCTCCTATGAATATGAATAGTTAAAAGAAACCAAGTACAATTTTTAACTGTCTCTTTATGATAAAGACTTTCAATTTTAACGCTTTATATTCCGTTTAAAATACTCACTTATGATCATCGCTTATTAGTTGCCAAAGTGAGTCTGCTAGCTAGCCTGGTGTACCCACTGATCCCATGGCCATGAATGCTAAATAATTAATTTCCCACGACCACCCAGTCTCCATGAATGCGGTGACCAATAAATAGGCTCTATTCAATTATGTCACAGTACAACGACACAGCTTTCGGACTAGGTGGCAGGCAATACACCTACATCAGATTTAGTTCCTTAGTAATTGCCCTGCCATCCAAATTTTCGTACTTTTTGCAATCTTGTGGAATTGCATGAACTGACTTTATCTACACGTACGTCAGCTATTGAATATTTTATCCAAAATTGTTTGTAAAATGAACGAGTTACGTATAATTGTGACGTACATGTGCATGTATTGGAAAGTTTCAAGCAAAAGCTATGATCATTAACGCTAATCTTTATCTCTTTAGGTAATCCTTTACGTCACAGAAGTGCATTTCAATAGAAACTGGACAAAAAGAATTCTCATAAATTGTTTATCATACAGTAGATGAAATACTTGCTCCAAGAAAATACAAAGCTACAAATTTATCCAACTGAGAGATGCATTTCATGAAAAGGATCTTCTACATTTACTTTGAATGTAGGATATGACGTGATATAAATATATGGGTCATGACTACAAGCTTGTTTTCTGTATCCATATCTCTTTTTTTCCCTTCTATATTCCTCTCTTCCTGTCTTTCTTTCTTCCTCTTCTTCTTTCTTCCTCTTCTTCTTTCTTCCTCTTCCTCCCACCTTTTCAATCTGTGTTATTCTTGCTTATGACATTTAAGCTATAACATTGTGAGCATTAGCCTAGATATCATTGCACTTCAGCGCCTCATTTTTGGTTTCGCATTAATCGCACAGAATGTGAAAGAAGTCAAGTTTATTGACGCACAATCCCCATCGCTTGCTTTCATTCCAGTAGCAGAGTGCATGAATTGAATTTAAGCCTTGGGGAGGGAAAAGGAATCATCCTTGCAGAATTCCTCCTTACACTTTAACAGTGACTCATACTGCAAAGTAATGGCAGACAACCTCACTTTCTACATAATTGTCCATTGGATTGTAATGTATAAGGATGAGATGGAATTTTTAAGCCGTCGATGACGTATGGGAATCCACAGAAATTTG